TACAAAGAGGGAGCTCAAAGGTATTTACCTATATTTCCCTAATAAAACTGAAGTGAACTGAACTGAACTTATAAAATCTACAAAATTTCAAAGGATTTGTTCCATTCCTTTTTGCCAGCTTGCGAGTGTATACAAGCCGTTCTTAAATTGCGGCATCTTGCCTATGTTAGCTCACATAGTGTAGCCAGAATCTGTTTTAGGAGTATCAGAATAAATGTAAACATTTCGTCGAACGCCCTGATCTTTTGGACATGCACCTAAGGAATCGCCGTTGCCTTAATTTTACTAGGAACGCTTATCGCAGGTTCTTTAATGAGGTAAAACCGATCGTTTATTTAATGGCTGCGATAAGGTAAATACGGAACAGTTTTAAGGTACTATACACAATTACCTCCTTTTTATATAATCCTGAAAAGCAGTGCTTTTATAGCTCATATTTCTTTGTCTTCTCTTTTGCGCAACTCCTTTTTATTTCATGAGTGTATGTTTAGTATTTAAGTTTATAGCTATATTTGTGCTATCTATTTTGTTTTATTTAATTAAGTATAGTAAACAGGTTGGCAAAAAAACTTATGTAGCCCCATTCATATACTCTTAGTCTCAGCATTTTGTCCTGCATAAACAGTGGTTATAGAGTTTTGGGGGGGTGGGAAAACAGAATAGACAGAGATTGAAATTTTTAGAAGTAAGTGTAAATTGAAAAAATGTAGTCGAGGATGCTTCCCGTGGCCGCTGGGAGCAGCTTGTTCCGCATGTAAATTGAAGGTGTGAGCGGCGCTTCGCGCCGCGGACTATACTTATCTAACTCCAGAACGGTAAATTAGACCACAGGTAAGTTGAAGTAGCTGACCTCCTAACCACCATTTCAATTTTTCGGGAAATGCAAGAAACCTGCAGTTTGATAATCGCGTTTTTCCGCAATTAGTTAAATAATAATACAGATTAGGAAAATCTACCGATATAAATCAACAACACGTCTAAATACAGCAAAATAAAAATGCATTTAGCATTTATTAAAGTATATTTCACTGCGTGTCCTAATGCCCTGCATATAAAACCCGAAAACCACCGTTTTTAGAGGAAAACATGCAGGTTGTAGGGATTGATGAGTGGGGCTACATAAGCTACTGTTGCCCGCAGGTTTATGGGTGTTAATTTAGCATTCAGTTTGTCATTTAATTCTATTAGCTTTATTAAAGTTAAGTAAGTTTATTTTACTTGATTTTGCATACGTTAAGTTAGTTCAATTCATTTTGATTAGACAAGCTTGGCTGCCTGTCGGTTTAAAAATTGCAATCAACTCTTCCGTATAAGGAACCATTGCCCAAAAGTGTACATTTTCCGGTATTTCCTAATTCCCAAAGAGAAAAAGAGCAGACGACCACCCGAGAGCGGACATCACTGTGTGCGTAGGCTACTTCAGTTTTTTTTATAAAGCAAAAGAAACACATTTCTGTTAGAACAGTGGCTCACCAATAATCTTGTACTTCAAGGCCTTCGATTTGTTAAGACCAGAGAATTGACAGAAGTAGGACTTGTTTAACTCCGTTTCATTTCGAACGAGTAGAATGGGCGCCCGTTGATTGTTCACAGTCTGATTTTTTCCGAATGCCTTCCACGTAAAGTTCTGCTTAAAGGCCTCGCCCAGCTCTGCCCATTTAAACGTACACAACTGAGTAAATGTTGAAGCTTTCGCATAGGCACCATGGGCTCCAGGAAAATCAATTTCGAGATCCTCTTCTCCTGACAGGTAGGAGTTAGAGAGTTAGACGCGCAACATATATTAGAGATAACTTTCCTTTATGCTCGGCGTTGTTTTTCACAATGAGACTGTATTCCGTAGCAGTGTTTAATACAGTGTGTCCCAAAAAATGCATACACATTTTACATGATTGTTAAGTTGGTGTTTATCATTGTTTTATTATTAGGAATATGTGTTGTTATATATGTTGTTATTTTCACTGAATGCTCTCAAACTGACGTCCATCTTAATCACTACACTGCTGACAATGCCGAGCAGCGGATGAACACACACCATGAAACATGTCCCTTGGTAGTCGGGTCCATTCATGTTCAATGGCTGCTTCCAATTCAGCCACTGTTGCAATAGTCAAAATGCGGTGAAAAAAACAACGAAATAGTTGAAAACAAAAGGGGAAAATCATAAACACAATGTTTACAATTATTTAAAATATGTATACATTTTTGTTGGGACACCGTGTGTATCGGGAAAATCATGGACAAAAGTGGGCTAGTTGAATGAATAATAAACGCTTACTTGCAAATAATCAGTAGGCTAGTTGCTATTAAATTCGATCAGAAATGTCTTCCTCAATTGATATTAGTTTTATTTGCGCCAACACTAAAAACGGTCTTCTGGAACCAGATCACACACAAGCATTGTACTAGCTATTTTTAAGTAGTACGACTATTCACTCGAAGTACTGTTCACCATGCATTGCCCATTACATTCGTGCTGCCTCCTTCGCCCTACGCGAACTGCGAAGATCACGCCGGCAGTCGCTTCTACCGCTCCTATGGTCCTAGTCTACGCGGTATTGCCACGTTCGTCCTAATATCGACCTAAGAACCGACTGGTGCCGACAGTGGCGGGTTGTTCTTTTTTGTCAGCCTATCAGCAGACGCGGCAAACAGCAAGGGGCTATCCTGGTCTCATCTCCGGTTCTTCGGTATGTTTTTGTGACTCTGCGGTCTCGGTCTCCTCTGCTCCCTCGGATAAAGATATTCATCGCGATGGCCCCCCTGGTTTGCCACCAACATTCACAGCAGCATGCTGGTCCTATCTATGACATAAATATTTCTCCCATGAGCGACATATTTTCGCCTAAAAAGCACATATTACATTCGATTTTTGAATTCTGAGCCGTGCATTAGGACTTTTTTCGCGTCACCCGGTCCTGTTAACTGACATCATCGCATGTAATTGTATTACTTTGAGAAAGTGATTATTCGCCCACAAGTATGTAATCAGCCTTCTTTGAAATGTTCGGATGTGCCGATGCATTTCTTGACTACTGTGTACCAATAGGGAGTTCAGAAGCGTTTGCCTATATTTCCCTTAATAAAACCTGACCTGATCCGATCTCCCGAGGAATTGCAAAACATATGCCAACGAATTCTTATGATATAAATGGCACTGCACAGCGTAATCTGAGGAACCCTAACAAATTATAGCTCGATTTAAAGATCTACCGAAAGAAACGGGAAAGCGATGGACCGGAACGGCACCCATTTCGTAACCCGTTATTCGCCCACTTTTTGTGCGTGCAGAAGCCCTATTCCGAGATCTCTTTGATACTGATAGAATGTGCTCACGTAAGTCATGGTGAAGTTAAGCCTATTCACAAGAATGTATTTACATTGCGAACTGTCAGAAAAACACCGTTTTCCCTCAGGTATTCATGCTCGTCTACTTCAAACCACAAAGACATGCTGCTGAAGGGCCAGTTTGACCGTCGATTTCGCCGATATCCACCGCATGCTTTAGCAAGCTGGGTGGAACAGGGACGGGGACTTGTGCGTGGATAAGTTGTAACCGATGGTAGAGCAGCGCTCACGTTTCTGGCCGGCATCATGACAGATTCAATAAAATCTAAGGCGGGATCGGACACACTGTCTGACGGGCCCGTCTGCGCGTGTCACAGCACCACTTATGAATTAAAGGCAGATTTCTTCGTGTGACTGCATCAACTTATACTACTCGTGATTTGCGAGAAGTCATATATTGTCTGTCATATTCTGTTAAGATTTGACTCTAGTGTCTTCCCGGAACATGCAATCGACGTAAATTTTTAATTTTTCTTTGTATCATTTTATTCCCTATCGTCTTGTTACCAACAGGGAGTTCAAAGGCTTTCGCCTATCTTTCCCTCAATAAACTGATACTGATACTGACTCCCGGTCCACACAGAAACCTGTATACACAACATGCACTGGGCTGATAGTGTGTTTGGTAAATGCA